TCACAGCTGGTGTGTGTGACGCTGGCGTGTTCTCCCTGCTCTGATACTTTGTTAGGATGGAAAGAAGACATGTTGGAGTCACAGTGAGAGGCGGTTTAAGACTCTGACTTTAAGTGTCTACAATCCTTTCAGCACTGCTGCACTGAGAAGTCCACGTCACAGCTGGGCCGATCCACAGGTTTCAGAGCTGCAGACCTCAGGGCCCAGTTTCGATTGATTCAGAGCACGTTTGTGCTGAGATTTGAACTTCAGCTGGACTTTCCAGCTGGGCCTCATGTGAAACAGTCGTTTATGACCATCAGCAGCTGTGCTGAACACATGACCTGTGCTTTATTCATTACACCTGAGCAGTACTGCTAACAGCCAATCAACCACTTAAACATTTAAAAATGAAAATCATAACTTTTCAGCCTCATGGCCGTTCCACTCAGCAACTACCAATGAGAGTGCAGGTTACCACTGATTTAAAACACATTAGCTAACCAGAGTGAGGAGTGTATGCGAGCGACCAGCCATCAGCATCACAGCGATGCATGACGAGCACATCCTTCCCAGTGTGGCTTAAAGCTGCACGTGTGCCCGTCGAGTACGGTTCACTACTGACTGTGACCGACTCCAGAGGGGCTTGATTGTTAGGGTGAGCAGCTGCTTAATGAATGAATGAATTTCTCGAAGTTCATTAAAAAACTAAACGTTCATGTAGTGAAGCGTCTCCCTGCTTCGTGTTTCTAACCTGTCTGCGTATGAATGCGTCATGTGACCCGACAAAGACCAGAGGAAGTTCATCGTCCCAATACTTCACCTGTCGTTGCCGTAGCTCTGCTTCTGTGACAGGAGGTGAAAAACAGATGAGTGGATGATGATGTCTTCAGAGACTGATGTTCATGAACTTGGTGTTTGCTGTTGTTTGCTTCTTCTGCCTGACGACCTGAGACAGTGAACACGGAGCAGCTCAGTGTGTGCTGAGAGGACAGCAGAGGGACGAGCCTGTCCGTGGAGTCTCTGCATATTGAAATGATTTGACCCGTCTTACATACAGATGTTGCACAACATAAGACGACGCTTGATACCAAATAATTTGATTCGTTACCACAAAAACAAGATCGACGCTGGTCAGCTCTTTGCAGCTTGCTGCACTGGATTGTGTCACATTGTGCAGGTGTAAACATCTGGATTTGTTAAGGCCCTAATAAGGGCTGATGAAGATTTTAGGCTGAGTTTGTGCGACACTGTAAGAAACAGCCCTGTTAATGTGTATGCATGTGATGCCACCTTATAAGACATTCACTACAGTCATAGCAAACTAACACCTGGTATTAATATGTGGCTCGTGTCTGCAATATGTTTAGTGTGAATGCAAGGAGAACACACAGGAGTCTGTTAGTGGATCAGCTGGATCACCTCTGGAGGTGTGACTGTAACGTGATTGTGAAGCCGGTGTTTTAAAACTGGCCACAACAAGCGAGGAGCAGATCGAAGAAACAGAAGGACGCTAACGGTTTGTTAGCCAACATCGTCCGCCTCTAAAGGACGCCATGTTTAACAGAACGAACACATACACTAGTGACTAAAACTAATCAGGAAAGTGTAGACTTCTATACACGTATTTCGTCTCCTGCTGACCACAGAGGTTCTTCTTAGACCTGGAGGCTGCATCCAACCTGCAGGTTTTACATGCATTAACTATGCACGTGTCCTTCAGGCTGATTAAAGCAACCTGATAAAGTATGATGCCAGTAACCACTACTCTGTGGTGTCTGCAGCTGACCGCGTGCACGTCCACAAGGGAGCAAGACTGCACGAGGTCGACGACGTCATGCAATACAAAATCCCCTCGACCTCCTTAATATCACTTGATTATTCTTTATGATTCTTTAGCATATTCTAAAACCTCATAACCAGCTTTGCACATTAGAGTATATAGAAATAATATCTTAGATTTAATGTGAAGTTTAAATTGACTGTTTATCATTTTGAAGACGAGCCTGGTACCTGAACGTGGGTGAACGTGGCTACCTGCAGAGCAGCTCTGCTATCCAGCTGCTGCTGCTCTACACCACAGACAGTAAACATGTTAATACCAGGTGGCGACGGAGGCTACGTTTGCTCATCACGTGGCGCTGGTGTCGCTGAAATCATGCCCCGGCATCACTGCGCCTGTCCGTGGTGCTGAGGGTGGTCAGGTGGACTCTTCTCATACAACCCACCCAAAACATGTGACTCACGCTCACGTGGAAACGAGCTCCACGGGGGAATCGTAATGTTGATTTGAAGTGCACATATTTAATCGCTCGGTGGCCGTTGCATTCTCTTCTTTCTTTTTGTTCCTCAGGGTGAATCAAGCTTTAGCATCACACACAAAGCACAGCAATAATGAGTCTGTTCCTTCACAGCATCACAGGCAGGTTGACATTTTGTAACAAGACTGTTTCTATTCTGTTTGTGTCTGGGCTCTGTTTCCTCCTCTGCGGGTGTTTTTGCACTGTAAATGAGTTTTTTTCCTTTGATGATTCATTATTTGCCTTTTTTAATGGTTACTTGTAAATGCCAATGTATATATTGGATATTTTGTAAAGAAATCTTACAGCAGCCTGTCTGCTTCAGAGAGAATGTGAGGTTGACGGTGTGATATGAACCTCCATCAACAGCTACAGTAAATATGTAATTAATAAGAGTTTGAATTTGTTCCTTTCCTGTTAAATGCAGCTGAGTGCAACATGAGGACCTGAGGGATTGACGTCGGTACCTTCTCTTCACACAACTGCATGATTAAAATGTAAAAGCTGGCTCCAGCACACAGCCCATATGAACTGTGTAAATAAGAGTTTCTCTCTGGTTTCATCACACCAGTCACACCAGTCACACCATTGCTTCTGCTGGTTTGAAAGTAACCACAGCACCTGTGTCACAATATAAATAAAACCCAGCTTCCATACAAACACAGCCTGTACTGGTCCTAGCTGATGTAAACTGGAAACACAATCATTACACTCTTCATGTTGAAGTTGGCCCCACTTTGATTTGCATAGGAACAAGGAAGCTGTCGCCCTGAACTCTGCTGACTTGATGAAAATGTTGATCCCACCTGAGGAAAGACTGGCTGGTGGAGAAGTCGTTGCTTTTTTAAAGAGAAGCTGTTGTTCCGTGTCCTGATGTCCAGCAAGTCAGCAAACTCAAACGGGTGGAAGGATTCAAGGTCTGACCCCCGATTTTAAAGACCGCAGTGATCGGGTCGGGGCAGCAGAATGGGGGGCGTGACTCTTGAGTTATTGGCACTGACTGCTGGTTTCCCACATCTAAGATTAAGGCCTCATGAATGTAGGTGATTTAGTTTTAGCACAGAGGAGTCTGTTTTCTCTTGTCATTTGCAGACGTAAAGAGAGGGTACGTTTGAATATCCAAAGGCATCCTTGCTTTGTCATTGTCCTCAGTAAGAAATGCAGACTGAGATGTTGTTTCCCTGAATTTGTTGTTTTTATTTTGTGTGCTGTAATAAAAGGTTATCCAACACTAATGGCTTCCTGTTGTTGAACAAACTGTTTGATGCAAAACTGGGCAGGTTATATTTAAGACCGGTACGTCCCAGTGCCCAACAAGACGTGCGCGTCTGACTGGTCAATAGTCACGTTGCTGTGATAAAAGTCAGGCTGAGCCATGGTAACATTATGATAATGTGCTGCTTTAAGAGTCGACAAAGGGCGGCTCTTGTTCTGAAAAACATTCTTATGATTTGCTAAAGAAAAAAAAAGCTAATATTTGGTGTCT